TGAACTCTAAACAAAAGGGTTTCTTTTGAAGGAAATAATAATGTTAAGGAAGAAAGAAAGAGCATTATGTTAACTGACAGAAGGAAGAATCTGGAGACTAGGGCCTAGTGTGGGTTTAGTTCTTATGAGAGCAATGATTGAGGTCAGGTATCATCAAAATCTGAGCATCTGGCTCCCTGTACATAAACGGCAAATCAAAGGCATATATAAATGACAAGCAAGCATGTTTTGTAGTTATCTACCAGGCCCTGGTACATTATCTTAGTATAAATTCACCTTTGTTTAGGTAACTCCACTCCAAGACCTTTAGGCTATCCTCACAACACTTGACCTACCTGCTGTGCAACCACTTGCTGTAGAGCGTTCTGGCACTTGGCGTAAGTGTGGTATCGCATGATGATCATGATGACAGGCATCAACTTGTCCAGCAAGGCCAGAGACCCGTGCTTTAGCTCCCCAGCAAGGATGCCTTCAGAGTGCATGTAAGTAATCTCCTTGATTTTCTATCATGAAAGAACCAGGCAAGTCTTTAGCTCATTTCCCAAAATCCCACTTTCAAGCAAGTATTACACAAAGCATCTGAGATGGTCAGGTCTACTGAGAAGTATTCAAGGGCTACTGATTGTCCCTATAGCTAACAAATTAACTAATCATTACTTCCAAGATACCAACAAGCAGTGCTGAAGCACAACAAGAGTATTCGTAAGGATTCCCGATTATCAAGAGCAGTCATGCTGTGCCTTATATTTCACTTTAACTTCTTATCTGATGAACCTTAAGTCTGTTGTTCATATTTCAATAGCATGTACACCCAACTAAAGATTGCAACCCCAAGTTACCATGTAAACACTCTTCTTGGCTTTCACTTTTCAATTAAGTTCTGTGGCATCTTCTTAAGGTAAACAAACCTCAATGAACACATATGGAGATACTTTAAACATTCTAGCTATTTCAATTCATTTATTCTACAAGTATGTGAGTAGTCAGCAAGATAAGGATGCTTGCCACCAAGACTGACAATCCAAGTTCAATATCAATTGACTCCAGCGTAGTCTGTCCCCTGTTTACACACATGCACTGTATCATGCCACCTCTCCCATGTGTATACACACACACACACACACACACACACACACACACACACACACACACACTCTCTCTCTCTCTCTCTCTCTCTCTCTCTCTCTCTCTCTCTCTCTCTCTCTCTCTCTCTTTCTCTCTGAATGGCAAGGCTCAGTTATATGTTGATTGCCTGGCTCTCTGTGGGTTGAGTCCTTAGCATTGCAGAATAAATGAAAGTATTATGTTCCCTGTCCCTAAGTCATTAGAGTAAAATCAACTTGTAAGTGAGAAAACGCACCAGGGCTCCTTCAAGCCATGTAGCATAGTGATAGCCTCGTCCCTTTATCAGGAATGACTTCTGTTGCCAGCTTCTGAATTTCATCATCCATGCTCTACCTCCTTAATCAAGTCTGTTAAGATTAAGATTAGCCCAGACTCTGAAAAAAAGAGAAATACACTGAACAGATAAAGTAACAAAGTGGTCAGTATTTCCTTTCTTCTGTAGTATCAGCATGAAATTCTCTTAACACATGGAGGTAAAAGTGGAAAGATCTTCTTAACTATGCAACTACAAACCACAGCTTCAAGAGTAAGATGAGAACTTCATCTATTATTCTACAGCAAACGTATAGAAAACAAAATACAGAGCCTTAGTTTTAAGAGGTTGTGACAGAAGCTGCTTCCTGTGACACAGTTAGGGAGAGAAGTCAGAATTAAAAAGCAAAAAAAAGACTGAAGGGATAGAGATGTAGTTAGTTCAGTTGCTAGACTGCTTGGCTAGTCTGCACACAGGCTTGGGTTCAATCCCCATATCTGCACAAAATTGGGCATAGTGGGTAACACCTGTAATTCAAGCACCCAGGAGGTAGAGACAGGAGAATCAAGAATTCAAGGTCATCCTCCGCTACATATCAAGTTATAGTCCACCTGGGATATAAGAGACCCACTCTCAAAAATCAGCAACATAACCAAACATAAAAACAAACAAACAAACAAAAGCCCACTATTCCAAACAGAGAGAAGGTCTTCCAAACACAAAGGATCAGAAAAGCCACGAGGCAAAAAGTAACCAAATGGAGCACAACTCAAGACCCATGGCTCCCATATTGGGAGAAGGAAAACAGAAATTTCATCCAAAGGGTAAGACGGACAGCACTGAAGAAGAGATGAGAAATCCTACCCACAGGACAAACTAAAGCCCTCAAAAGCCTCAAGACAGGTCCCAGTCTGTACAGTGAATCCTCCAGCAATGGGGTTCCATTCTGTCACTCTCTATGGCCAGACACCATCTTAGAAAGAAACTATTCTTAAAACTGCACTAATCAGAGCTGGAGAAATAGCTTACTGGCTAAGAGCACTGACTGCTCTTCCAGAGGACCCAGGTTCAAGTCCCAGCACTCACACAACGGCTCACAACTATCTATACCTCCAGTTCTAAGGGATCCTGTCCTCTTCTGGCCTCTATAGGAACCTGCATGCATGTGGTGCATAGACAGACATACAGGAAAAATACCTACACACATAAAATAATTAATGTAAAAACTGTACTACTCTAGGCCTAAGACTAGAACAAGTCAAAGAGCTGGAGCTCAAGGAGCCACACACTGGTAGGAGACAGCTGCAGAGGGAGGGGACAGACTCTGACAAGACAAAACAGTACAGGCAGCAGAGGCTTAGCCCAGTTAAGTATGTGGGAAGGTAGCACTGTTCTAGGTACCCAGAAATAATTCTGGAGTGGATAGGCCTGAGCCAGCTCTCTGCTGGTCACTGCTATGGAGTTCAGGAACTCTCAAGTTCTAGCACAGTGGTTCTCAACCTGTGGGTCATGACCCCTTGGGGGTCAAAGGACCCTTTCATAGAGGTTGTTGCCTAAGACCATCGGAAACACAGAGATTTGTATTACAATTCATAACAGCAGCAAAATTACAGTTACGAAGTAGAAACAAAAATAATTTTATGCTTGAGGCCACTATAACATGAGGAACTGTATGAAAGGGTTCCAGCACTAGGAAGGTTGAGAACCACTGCTCTAGCAGAACATAAAAAGCACAAAAGATTCCAACTATCCAAAGCCATCCTAAGCAGAAAGGGTAATACAGGAGGCTTCATAACACCCAACTTCTTTGACTATACTACAGTGACAAAAACTGTTTCCATGTGGCACTGACA